GTCCAGTGTTAGAGGATGGATAAATATATTTAATAGAGAAATAGTTAAGTTTTAACTTCATAACGGAAACCGGATATCTCATATAAACTCTTGCGGCTACTACACTAAGTATATCAGGTGATAAACTACAAAGAATCTATGGACCACGTTTACGAGGGGTTATTAAAGTTACAATATATAGGAGTGGTAGAATAAGGAATTTTATCTATGGTCAAATATAGATGTCTGTAATGCGCACTCAAGAGACAGAATTAATTTTTAGAAGAAAAGGGGAAAGTATAATAAACCTGTTTTACTTCTATTATTGTTATTGTTATACAGCTCTATGAATTATCGTTGAGATAACAATAGGGGTCATCAAAGAAATCTACGCCGAAGATCGCTTTTTTATGCAACACGTCCCATTATCCTCTAAGAGGGTATTTTGTTTGTCACGGATAACATATATTTTTAAGTTTTGTAAGTTTGCCTCCGCAAATAACTTATGTGACGATGCCGGCAAGTATACTTTGCTTCTACACAACTTTAAGTTTTACCTCCCTCCCTACCACCAAGAATTTCTTTTATTTAAGGCAAATATGATTAGATTTGCTTCCGGAAACACCAGCAGCAATAATCATATCTCATTGATTATCAATGTTAACAACGAAATTCCCAAAGTACTTATTTAACTCTTCAAACACTTCTAGCATCCATTTTACGTTGCGAATACAAAAAGGTGGGAGCTACGTATTTAGCTTCAGTTGAAGATAAAGCTGTAGTAGCCTGGAATTCAATTCCTCAGTTATCGCGTACCCTTAAAATCTAAAATGGTATCCGAAAATTCAACGATACATCGTGTATATGGCTTTTATGTTTAGCAAGGGGTACCCACACCAATCGCGTTTTTTTGCGTTCCACAGTTATAGGTCATCTTACTCTCTCAAATGGTAAGGGTAAGGGTCGTAAAGATCCATATCAATTTCCTCGCAGACGTCTAGGTGAACGTAAAATCTGTCTTACTCTTTCTCTTCACTTTTCCTTATCTAATATTAGCTTCTGCGCAGATTTTGCACTTTATGTCTTTATTTATATCCGTGCGCTTAAATCCCATCCTTGTATCAGTTAGTCAAGTTTAGTTTGTCCACTGTGCCCCGGTGCTTCGTGACTCTAGCGCTTAGTTCATATGGTGCCAACAGTCTCAGTTTTTTGATAATAAGACTATTTTCCTTCTTTTTGGCGTTTTTTTTTAAAGGTAGTCTTCGTAAAGTATAGTAGAAATTTATGTTTTCACTAATAATGTTACTTTGTTACTAAAAGCAGTTCCTTTATTGCATAACATTCCCATTCTTACTATATTAGATTTAGCTTCGGGGATAAGAAGCGCTCTACTTCCAGCTAAAGACCCTTCTCTCATGCATTAGAAATCTTCTTCAATTCTTGCACTGGTTCATCGATTTTTATAAAACTCTTAACAATTTTAGGGTTATAAGCACGTGGCAGCTAGCACCTGGATCTATTATAGTTATTTAATCAGAGGATTTCTCGGTAATTAATCTTATGCTACGATGCAGTTCTTAAGTTGAAATATTGTGTATGATAATTAATTATTGTATTTAATCTAAAAAGTGTAAAATTATTGCACAAGCAAGTCATATATATAGACATGAACGCTTCATAAGAGCAACTTGATTTTTTTTCCTTTTCCGGCTTCTTTGCTAGTGGCAGATCATTATGCCTGCAGGGCGGTGGAAACTGAAACTAAAACCGGAAACTAAAACAAAAAACAAAATTACTAATCTAAAGGGTTGCTAATAACACTAGGAGCATTATTATTAAATACTATACTATCGAAAAGGTGTATTAGATGCTGAGGTAAAAAGCAGTGTTTCTCTTGTACTTCGCTGTGTGTATAGGGTTGTTTGTCTTTTATGGCCAATTTTCCCACAGATAAGACAATTCTCTCCTTTGTAGTAGGAATTTTTTTTGTTGTGACCCAATTTTTCGCTTCTCAGGTAGTTACCTCTTACGATTTTCTTAAAATATCATTATTCGGCCAGGAGGTTAGGGTCAGGGAAGATGTGTTTAAGAGCTCCTCCAGGGCGTTTAAATTCATTGAGGAGAAATTGGTGAGCTGCCATGCCTCAGCCTGGATAACAAAGTCATCGCATTCCATGAAGTTTTACTGCATGAGGATATTGCTTCTAAGGTAATCCAAACGTTGTCTACCGAAAACCCACAGATAAATCTGTTGTATTTCATTCTTTCTGGAATGTAGCTTTCACTAATATAAAAAGCTTTCGATCAAAAATTAAACCAACCTTCAAAGTCGGATATGTTGGTTTGGGTTTTATTTTTGTTTCTAAAAAAATTTCTTTCAAATGCCAGTTTCATGGCCGAGATCTTCACATTCCATCGCGCTTCTAGGAAACCCAGAAATATATCACTTTATTTTATTTTGTTTCCTCTGGAATTATAATCTGCCTTTTCTTTAGAGCACTCCTCACTAGGAAAGACAAGGGTTATAACATTTTGGTGATAAATACATCCCAGGCTAAGGCTTTCATCTCGGGATCACTAAACGCCTGGGATTGTAGTGCGTTTACAGCTCCTTTCGTGCTATATGGTATCTGTTTTAAATTCCAGTTTTAAAAACCTTGATAGTCCTTAAGCTTTCTTGCTACAGAAAAACCATGGTTTTATTAATTTTAACCTTTAAGGATTACCTCTAAGGTCAGTAGACTTCTTGAATTTATTGGTGAGCCTTGTTGTAAACTTATAACGCATTAACTACACCCAACTGTGGGCTGCACTCTTTAGGAGTTGGTCAATTTCGACATTTATATCTTTCGTAATTATAAAATTCTAAACTTTTCTTTACTCCTGGGGCGGCAGGGTAAGGGACTCTCATCAACCTATGTTAAAATAAGCTCTCTAAGCAAACTCGTCCTAAATTTTAGTAAGAAATAGAGTAGATGTTTCAGAACAAATAAGCTTTTAACATAAAAGCAAAAAAAAATTAAACATATTAGGCGAATAGTTAGTGAAGAGCATAAAGTGGATTAGCTCTTTCAGCTCATTCGTCATAGGAATACTTAAAAAATTAACACCAAAAAATTCCTTAATACCTTAATCTTCAAAAAAAATTTTCCACTCGGGGCATAATCCTGAGTAAGAGCTTCCGCTCCAAAAAACAAAAGCCCATTATCTTTACCTTACGTGTGTGAATTAACTGATAAACAGTAGAGTTGATGATACGATTAGGTTAGATAATTTTTAATTTGCGCGCTGTATAACAGAGCTTTTCGCCATAGGTACTTCGGTATCCAGAATATATAACAACCTCTCATCATGTTAAATGAGTAATTACAATGCGATGTGGGGCATTGGGTGGATTATAGGCCCCGCCTCTAGGGGTTAATTCCTCAACGAGTCCTCGATAATAATTTTTTTTTGCACTATCATCATCTAAGATCAGCTTAGCTTTTAAAGGGGCGTATTACATAGTAGACGTAACCAAGTATAATTTCGAAAGTATTACTCTTTTGTCTCAGCAATCACCAGGTAGTCCCTCTTTTAAAAACACAGACAGAAGACAAGCGTACCTATAATTCACCGTAAGCTTTAGATAATGAATCCCGAATATCGAAGTGCACAATTACATAAACCCTTGTATCTTCCAACGTTTTCTTGCGCTAAGTTCACTGTCGACTCTCAGCTATTTGGCAATAGTCACATACAGTAGATTCATGGGTATCCGAAATATTTTTATTAAACGGCGGTATCAATAGTTCAGTAATCGCTTCGAAACATGTTCCTAGGCGCCAGTGATAAAAAGTTAAGGGAACTTCGTTTTGTATGTGGACAATGAAATTACCAAGTTCCCATAAACTAATATTATTACCATGGGATATCCACCTCATTACCGCTCATGGTTTCTGTGCTATTCTTGCTGCAGTAGTCACTGCTGTTAAGTTTATTACTTGGAGGTATGTTTACCTTATGGGATCTAAGTTCCATATTTAAAATTATAACTGCTCTTAAATGTTTCGCATGTATAAAGCTTTCAGTGTAATTATAATCGAGTTTCACCTAGAACCTAGAGTTTGCAAAGGCGTATATGCGTTAATATATAAAATCTTTTTTTTTGTGCTACAGTGAATGATAATTCGTAACTTTTAACTAAAATTCATTACAAGGCAATTCCGAACTATACAACATTTAAAGAATACTGTAATAGCTGGTAGTACCCCTATATTCGGTAAGAATCGCAGAGTTAGGTGTGTTTCGTTGTCGAGCACTTATTACGTGCCCCAAGCACTAAACCCGAGGACCCCTGGGTACCCCTGCAGGCACCAATGCCAGCCCGGCCTCCCTGGCTATTAAAATGGAAGGGAATTTAACCAATTAAAGAACATTTCCAGTTTTTGAGAGATAAAAATGAACAAAGACTACTAAGGATAATTATTATAAAATATCTTCTTTCAGTTTGGTAGTTTTTTTAATGCAATTATGAGTCTTAATTAGAAATTCTTTTAAATTTTTTTTTAAAAAAAGTTCAGCTAAAATCGTCTTTTTGGTTTCAATTTGGGTTATTTTACCCATTTTATAATAATAAATAATTTGGGTATATTAAAAATTTTTAATCTAAGAATATTCTGAAGTACCTCAAATTTTTTTTTTTAAAAGCTCGTTAGCAACGCTGACTCCAAAGGGTTATAGTTACTTGGTAAATAATCATAATCTCGGTTTAGCTATCTATAGAGGTTTTTGTGAGAATTTAAAAACCCCTGCACTTGAGGTTATTACTCCGACTAATACGCAACAACTTCTTTCAGTATACTAGGGTCGCTTTTGGAAACTGTAAATATTCCAAAGTTATTTTTTGCGCCTTGCTAGTTCTTTTATTGCCTTCCTTATATATAAAAATAAATCTTTATAGAATCCGGTTTAAGAGAGTACATTTATCTAACGAAGTTTATTAATTATTCAATATTTTAATTCTTAATATAATCAATTTTCGACCACATAACTTTTACAATATTTGAAATGTGTGTTCTCCTGGAAATGACACCATCTAATTTAGTGATCGAAGTATAAAAAATATTGTTTAGTCAAGAAAATATATTTTATTTAAAAATTTTTCCCTAGCCCAGTCACGCTCATAAACTCAAAGTAGCGAGCCAAGCGATAAAAAAAAATTAATTTTTTTTTTACAATTGGCATTTTAAAGTGCTCGATCGTACCTGTATAGGTTGGTTTTTCTGCAACGGGTCAAAAGGCCAAGAGCACTCGAAGAAAGCGTCGACCTTCGCATACCAGTGTCTTCAACTCCTCAAAAAAAGCATTTAGGATTGTGCGTAACATGTGCTGAATATATATATTTATCCCTACCCTCAACTTCTATCATGGTTTGTAACTGACCTCTTACATCAGTAAACGACTGGTGTGTGGTGTAAGCCATTGGTAAGTGGTAATATCATTGCGTTAAAAATGGTAACTGGTGACTCAAGCTGCAGATATTAAGCATCTTTCCAGACAAACAACTTGGCGTCCTTCATGACGCTTAGCAGCCTTGTTTTGCCTCATTTAAAAGAGAAAAGGTGAGGAGAGCAGGGGTCTTCCTTAAGACCAGAGATGTTAATAGGTTCGTCTCAAATAACGTAAAAATATTAATTCAGTCCGTAAAATGTTCTAGTAAACAACCTCGGTAATTCCTTTGAGCCCAATTCAAGAAGGAAGGGTAGGTAATCGAAAAAAAAGTACTTAAAGAACCTCAATTACCTACGGAAAATGAATATTTATTGTAATGACGATAATTAACACGTCTATTGTCCCGTTTTCTCTGTGTGCGTTGGACACTTCGGCCCTCCCATTGCGCAGTCCGGGTGCATCGGGTATTCGGTAGTTTTGGATTCCGAACCGACTATTCTAAGGGGAACACCAGCAATTAAAGCCCCACATTAAACAGCTGAAGGGCTGTATATAATAAAGGCATCAAGGTCTGCAGGCCCCGATCACTCAGGCAGAGAAAAGACCCAATGCCTTAAGGCCTTGCGGATCTGGAAGAATTATCGTGTTGTGAATGCTACCTTTGATCCGGGAAGTTGTAGACTTGAATGAGACACCGAGTAGATGATAAGTCTTGCTATAAACACAAAAGTCCATTCTCTCGCGCTGCATCAGCTTCTGCGGCTCATGTTTCCAGCGTAGCATCTGCGTTCTGAACAGAAGTCGAATGTGGGACGGGCCCGTTTATCCTCATGCAAGCTCAGGTACGCACCAAAAAAATTGCATGAGGAACCTTCGCGGAAAATTAAATGTACTCCTTAGTTAAAACACATGTTATAAAACATCTCAAACAACACTGTAAACAGGATAATATGAAAATATGATCAATATTATTATTATTACTATTGTTATCATCTGTTTTTATTTTTAGTAACTCTTTTCACTTAGCACTGTCGGAGGGAATTTAAGCAATTAGTAGCCCTAATTTGATCTTCTTCTTCAGCCCCATGGTTCTTTAAGTAGTCAAAGAATTGAGTAAAGTTAATAAGTCTTGAAAGAATTTTTTGTCCTTTTTTGCTTTCATTTTAACAGGGGAAGACTGTGGGTTAAGGTTCTTTACAGAATTTCTTAATTTTAGCCAGTAGAATGCATTTTTCTCCTAAGGTCGAATCTCTAGAAAGTGTATCTAAAGTACTATATGTAAAAAAAATTAAAATAAAAGTGTACCTTTTTAAGAACTCCTGAATTTAACTAAGTACTAAATAACACATTTCTTAAGCTTCGGTACTTGCTAGCTTATACACAATTTCCATAATTTATCCCTAACAAAACTATGAGCCCTTAATAAAAATCTATGATGCAAACAAGCTTTTTTTTGAAGAATGAATTATTTAAAAGATTAATAATATTTGTTCTTTCCTTAAAAAATGTCGACTTCATTTATTTTATAACGTATAAATTCTACATTTTTTATTATAGATACTCTAACCTATTTGTATGTAAGTTACATAATTTGTTTGTGGAAAGTAAATAATCATAACTGACAAAGCAGAGCGGAATAAGGTTAGGAAAGGTTCAACAGAAAAGAGAACAAACTCAACTTAATATATTTTAAATTTTGAGTTTACAAAAATACTTGCAAGTACCCCGTTATAAATTAGTAAGTACACACGAAAAGGACGTGAGAAGATCATTAGGCCTCTTTAAAATAAATCTGAATATGCACTTTTGTCGTGTAAATAAACAAAAACATCTATCACTTTTTTTAATATAAATTTATACATCCTGAATGTAGAAGCTAAAAGTTCGAAGAAGGCAGTTAAGGTTCGCTAGGATATAATCATATAAACGCAAATTTTAAAAGAAATCAAAGATTTTTTGTTTGAAAACGGGCTGCGTTGTTCTGAATGGTTCCGGTTTATACTATAGATTTTTAAAAGATTAGAAGAACCCTAATAAGGAAAGTGCACAATCCAAAAAGAAAATTTTGCAAGTAAAGTTGAGGTCCGGGTTAGCCTGATTTTTTAAGGGGAAAGTTAATTTTAGCGAACCAGAGAAAATTCAAAACATTGGAAGGATTTTTGGATTTTACAGGATGACTACCTTAAGAAGATACTTTCAGTTACAAAAGCCATAGGGGGTGTATACTGGAATTTTATGCAGTAAAAAATGTTTGGTGGTGCTAGACGGGTTTATAGCAACAGGCAAATTTATATTTTCTTAAAAAATTGTAAGGTCCTCTTCATTTATTGTACGCAATGTAATCTATTTTTCAATGAAATTATATATGAGAACACGTGAAAGATGCAGTCACGTATTGCTACCACAATAGGTTCACCCTTTCGAGTTAATGCATAAGCTTCTTAATTATTAAACTTATGTGCAAAGTAATATCACGCCTTGATCTTGGCTTAACTATTGAAACTGGAGCTCATACTGTAATCTTACGAAAAATAAAGGTATTAAAGAAAATTATTTGCATTAAATATAGGAACATAGTATTTATTCTATTAAAAAAAAATTAACTCTTTTTTATAACTTCAAAAGAATTACGATTTTTTATAACAATCTTAACTCGCTATAGTGCGTACATGTAATACATGTAATGTATTTGGGCTTGTGGAACATTGACAACTTCAAATTGGGGCAATAGTTGCTAAAATTCCGTAGTCCTGCTCTGACAATGAATTTTAGTTACTATTTAGTTGTGCAGCGATTATTGGTAGGTTAAATTTATTTTCAAATGGTTATAGGGTCGATGATTGTTATTACCATTTTTTTTTATTAGCCGTCCGAGTCAGACTTTAAACGTTATTAAGAGGTAATTTTGTTTACTTTTGTAAAAGTTGGCCCATAGGAGAGAAGTATTAAATTTTATAAAAATTTTTTAACCGTTTTATGTAGTTGGTTGTTACGTACAACGCACCTATTTATCTTAAGTACTCTAAATAACGCATTCGTTTTTATATCAGGTGAAGCCGAATCAGATGCTATTCTAACTTTAAACTATGGAAACCAAATTATCAAGACATGTTAGTTTTGATGCAAATCCTCCAGAAGTATTTGAAACTCCTAAGGAAGAAACCGTTTTTGAACCACCAAAATGTAAAAATGGAAAAGATATTAAACCCGAAATCTCTCGCAAAGAGTGCGTTATATAATAAATACATTTGTTAACAATTTTTTAAATTGCATTTAGAACTTTATATGGACCACACGGAGAAACTCTTTCTCCGTCACTTACTCTAATGTTTGAAGAACAACAAATTATTGCACATCGTATAGACAAAGTAATTGGTTAAATTCTTGTGTTAATAGATTATAGATTAAGAGTACGTTTTAATACTAATGTTTTTAAGGTCGAATCAAAGTTATTTAAAATAGACGAAAAGATAATGTGTTTAGAAGAGAAGCTTTTAGGAGCTGCCCCAAAAGATCCAAAGAAGGTGCTTATACGCATCCCCTTATCTTGCCTCCTTACTTTAATTTAAAAAATTTTAAAGAAAAGGAAGGTTTCTTTTGGGTCTGAGACCATTATGGACACTGAATGCAAATAAAAAGTTTATAATATCGTCTAATAAGACAGTTATTGAACTTAAAAATAATAAAAATAATCTTTTTTTTATTAACACTGCTTCATTTAAACTTCACTGTGCATACTAGCGGCTTTCTTTAAAATCTGCGTTTTGTAAATATCGAACTTTTCCTTACTTAGAGCTTCGCTTTCTCTTTCTATAACTCGAAATCCAGATGATTGCCTTTCCGACACGATCGTCTCGTCTTTCACTGCAATATGTTTGCTGTTGCCTAGAGCCTTTATTAGGTTGACATAAGCGCTATAAACTTCAGAATGCAGCGAAATGGACAATTCCTCGCAGTGAGTTATTAGCAATGTCGCATCAACATAATGTCCGCCTGTAAGAAGAAACAATATTCCTTTGCTAAAAGTTTGTGTCAGCAATTTTTGTGGTTGCGCATAAAAAGTCTGTGTAGTTTCGCAAATTACTGTTTTTTCTTTAGCAAGAATGCTTACTTTTTTGATAATTTCGTAAAGATGAACACGAGATTCATCCTCACAAGAGAAAAGATAATAAAAATTGAATTCTAAAAGAATTCAATAAATCGAATAAGACTAACGAAAAGAGAAAGCCGCACAAATAAATCAGCGACGGCGCAGTGGGAATGTATGGAAAGATTATGGCTACTGACAAGAGCATCTCTAAGTAGTTGATCCACGAGCTCCAAATAATTGTTCTCGCTAACCATAAGCGATTGAAAGGATAAGTCCAAATGTTTTTTACTTATAAGCAGTCACCTGGCATAGATCAACATGCTCGACAAAAAATTGGAAGAAAATTCGGAGCCGTGCATATCTTTAAGGCGGGAATAACAATCCAAACCTTCTTTCTCCAAGCCTGCCTATGTTAAAATTCTCTATAGAAAACTCAAGAAAACGTATACAAATGCACTTTTAAACAAGTCGGAAGCAGTTCCTTTAAAAAAACTTCAAGGTCACTGTTTTCTTCAAAAACTAATAAAAAAAATAAGAACAAAAGGTTGTGTGGATGCTGGAGAAGAGAGGAGAGCAAACGCACTCAGCAGGTGCAAAGACCGAAAGGTATGTAGCAACAGCGGACGTGTGAGAAGATTCACTTTTTGTAGGGAAGCGCAGAGGAAGGCCACCGTGCCTGCCGCGGCGGGGATTTGAAGGCCGAGCGTTTCTTCGAACACGAAGATGGCTTCTTCGTAGAGCTGAACTTTAATTAAAGCCTCGGCCCTGAGAAAACCGCTCATACATATAGAAGGCATCAAAAGGGTGGAAGCAGGCCGAAGAAGGTTACCAGGCAAGACCGGGATGATGCTCCGGTGTGCTGCGGGGAACGACACTCCCGAATCTCTTCATGTGTTGCTGCAAAGTCCTTAAAGAGTCAAGATTTTCTGAATAGGTCGCGAAGGAGAACGAGTTATAATAAAAAAATTGGAAGGCAACTTTAAAAGTACCGCTACTAACTGCCTCATCGGCAGTATTGGCGATGGCACGGCAAAAACTCCGGTAACTGTCGGAGGAAAAATAGATAGCTGCAAGGAAAAGTGAATGGGCAATACTGAAAAAAAAACAAAGACTTGCCGTTTGCTTCGGCTTTCTCCAGGAGACTAAGTAAATTCCCGACAGTTTCCAATAATTTCCCGTATCGTCTTGCATAACGAAGCCTGAAACCGAAGTATGCTGCCCAGGGACTAGTAGGACGACGTGGAATAAAACAAAAAAACATATCGGATAAAAAACGATATAAATGAAGAATACTCCAAACTCGAAGGGGTGATAAATAAGGCATCTTCTAATTCGTTTAACAAAGGAAAAACTTTTCGAAAAGGGTAACCACTACATTGCTCTAAGTGTAAGAATTGTGAAGTTTAATATTGTAAGTGCAAGTAAATTACAAACCACCAGCGGCTTCAACACATTTTACAAGTGTACCGAAGTACATAGTCAGTGCTGCGGCTGTAGGATACTTAATCACAAGCTCGCCCAGTTCGATAGTAACAAAATAGTCTCTATTAGCAAGTTCGTATTAAAAAGCACACAACTCTGTTAAGGAGAAAGTACACGGCAGAATTATGCTCAGACGCCCACCGAGAGCGCTTAATATCGAAAAAAGTGTTTTGAAAGCAAACTAAACCTTGAAAAATCAAAAAAAAAATAGTGAAGGTCCGAAGATCTTAAGTAAAGGAAGCAAAGTCACCGAGCACAAGAAGGGGGCTGGGCATGTTGAGTTTCTTACAGATCAGAAATATTTCATAAGCGTGTCGCACGCTGTCAAGTTTTCCAAGTTCCAAGTGCTGCCGGCAAACCTTAAAAAACGACTAAAAAAAAGTCCGCCAAGATACAAGAAGAACAAAACCATCAGTAGGTCAGCAAACATTCTTGCCGTAGGAAACAAGGAGAGCTTCAGCTCATACAAGGAGAGTTTTGGGCAGCTCGCCAGAATATATGTTTCCGCATCGAAGCGGGCATTGGCAGATACTTCGAGGACAGAGAAACGTGAGTGGCAGTGCGTTCGTACCAATTGTAACGCTGTTTCTACGAAAAGGCAAGGTAGGACGGCCGTAAACAAGCGCAGCAGCAGTGGAAAACCAATGTCGTAGCGGGAAATGTTTCGAATATACTCGGAAAACACTAGAGGAGAGGGAGCAGGGGTAACCTCCAGGTACTTTGCCCAAGCCAAGCGCTCGGTCGGGCCCCCCGGCGAGTCACGGTACGACGCAAAGAGAAAAGCCCACGACCTGTCGTTAGGCCTATAACCTTAAAAAGGATCTCAACTTTTAACTTCACAAGGAAAAGAGAATGCAAGTAACCCTTGTTAATCATAAAACTAAAAAATCGACGGCAGTCGTAGGCATTGCCTGAACTGCAAAAAGCCTCCAGCACAACATTAAAATGATTAATTGTGAATGATTTGAAAGTTGCACGATTTCCTAAGCAGAGCCCCTTAAAACGCCCGAGTGCATCTTTGGGACCTGAAAAACTGTAGTTACCCAAGCGTTATAAGCCCTCCAACCAAGGCGTTAATAAACGAACCGGGATAAAGACAGTATAGTTTTATGATGCTCAAAAGTAGGTCTTCCTTCACTGTATTTTTAACTTTAATTGCTTCCTCCACAAATAAATTTCCAAGGTTATAATCTTAAAAAGAGTACACAATAAAATGAACAAGGCATATAATACATTTTATAAAAAATCAAAACCTTTATATATATAACAAATTTCTATAAGTTTGCTGTAAGCTGTACTGGAAGGTATCTTTATATAAATTAAAAGTTAATGACGATCCAAGTATATAAAAATAGTAGAACCTACTTCTTTCCTAAATATTAATTCTCCATAACAGCGAAACGCTTCCGAAAATTTTCCTTCTTTAAAAAAGGAAACTAACAAATTAGAAAGATCAGGAACTACGGAATAAAAGAATTGGCCCTTCCAAGTAGTATTCACCTTTATAAAATTATCAGGTGACCGAATGTTATGTAAACTTATTAATTTTATAAACTAGGTAATTAAAATTCTCCTCGTAAACTTCGTTGTAAAAAAATTTTTGCTTGAGAAATTCATGATCCAGGTAGCTCGACTGTGGACTTACATAAAGTGGTTTACGATTTTGAGCTGAACTGTACTTGCGTGTTTTATAAGAAAAGGGGAATGAGGAGCCAAAAATACGTAGGCTACAAGTAAAGTTAGTTGAACAAAAAAAAACTATAGGAACTACTTCATGTAAAGAAACTAAATATTTGCTTGTGTGCCAACATTTCGCTTTTGTAGAAGATAAAACCATCTATTTAACCCAAGTAAAGTTATTTAGAAAACTGACATCCCACTTTACCGTCATGAATTAATTTTAGAAGTATTGTGATTCACGAGGGCTCTTTAAAAATTTATGAAATGTGGTATTGGAATGGCTAGTGTAATGAAGTGGGCACAAAGGCGGAATATTGTAGAGATGTGGTCATACGGCGATAATGATTGTCCGACGACTGTAAAATTCTAGGAGAAGGCGCATTTGTAAACATTTTTGTCGTGGTCTCCTGAGGCTTTGCTTATACGATAATTTGGTTCTAAAGTTTTATTTCCTCTCATAGCACCACATAGTTTTTTAATAAAATTTGTCACAACTGCGAATGAAGGCCTCGAGGAGGGGAGAAATTCGAAAGCAAATTAAAATTAAAGTACACAAAAGCTGGGCCCACAGTGGTGCTACTAAGGACCGAGTACTGTCTTACAAGGTTTCACCTAAATTATTTTAAGAAAAATTTAAAGCGTTGTATTAGAACGTGTTAAACAATCATAATTTACAAGGCAATCTATTTATTTGAGTTTATTTTATATGGTATAATCTATCTTAAAATATAAACAGAGAGGACTTTGGTTGCAACTGATAAAGTTGTCCTCTTAATTGTTATTTTTTAGGTTCTTTTAAAAAATTTTATTATATTAATTTCTGTCTTTACTCTACAAATCAGTATTTTTTTAACCTTATATTAAATACTTTATAAAACGAAGGTTTCATTTTTATCATTACACACCAATAATGCTGACTTCAAACTATTTGCTATTATATTACAATATACTGGTATTCTCAACTATTGCAGATTTACGCACCATACTATAAAGAATTGTCGATTGCAAAGTTGCCCTAATTGGCTGAGGTCTACACGGTTTTTTCTTTACAAAAAAAAAAATCGGAGGAGCTGGACGCAAACTTGAGACATATATATATTGCACTTAGAACTAGCATCTTAGTTATGGAAAAAGTTTTTGCACTCCAGCACTAACTACTTTCACGTTCTTCTAGCATGAAGTATGCACAACTTTTAAAGAGAAAACGTATTTATCCTACAATATGCCAACAGATAAAGAAGCAATGTACTATTTCCGAGCTAATAACTATATTTCTTTTTACAAACAGGAGTCTTATTTATAAATGTGGGGATAATTTTAAAAACTACCTTTAGTACGTATGAGGAAGCACGCCACTCCTCCTACTAGAAGAGCAAATTTAATTCTCCCTGTTATGATCTCGACCATTACTTAAGCATTTTTAAGCTTGTAAAAATCTTGGGCTATATTAACGCTAATAGACACAGAACCTAGTTAGGGCCAAATATATGTTATACGAGTCGAGGACAGGTATTTTTAAGAGATTTCTATGCACTAAAAATTAGTAACAGTTAACAAACGGTAATTTAATTATACTAACTTATGTTAACAAATTAAAGTGTCTAGTTTTACCGATCAAGGTATAGGAACCAGTAGCAAAAAGAAGAGTCATAATAGTTAACCGGCATAGTAGTAATAATTTTGATTATAATACTAATAGATAGCAGTGTAGCAAATAGATGTGTATACATATAAAGATGCATGCATAAGAAAAGTACTAGTAAAATTAAATAGGAGTATAAATATGCCAGGAAACTGTTTGATGACTGGTTTTCGATCTGTATATATACCCTTCACCAACGTTTAAAATTACATATCCACATAAAGTTTGTTTAAATTGGTCTGCTCTTACCAAATTTATAAAATTTTATCCTTTTAGTATGAGTGTAAAAACATTTTTTTAACTTTCGTTTATGGCATCAAGAATCCAGGGCTGAATGTGCTATATAAATGCAGCCTATTGCATGCGCTGCTACTATATTTATTTTATCGTGCTTTTTTTAAAGGTTGGTTTGGTGCTCCTAGAGAAAAAATCTACTATTATCAAATAAAATTTTAAAGTGCTATAATTCTTCGATTACACTTATTATATTACATTAAAGTCTAGTAATTCTTTTTATTAAATTATATAACATTGTTTACAATATTTATTCTAGAGGGCTCCCGGCCTGTTAACTCCACACTTTAAAATACTAACCTGGGTTAAGGGGGTACCTAAAGCACTCTTTTAAAGAACACGATTTAATCTCTAGTAGACTGCCATCTAAAGTTTGTGATGTTTTAATAAAGTTTATTAGAAAAAGAACTTAATTTTAAAAAGATATGTACATTATCACATGGAATTCTCGTAACCCCAACTAGTGTTAGTGGGGCAGGCAAGATTTTGTTTTGTTTCATATTGTGTTTTTCGTGTCTTTTTTAATTTGTAACAGTCATAACAGTTAATGATAACAACAAGATTCTAAAGTTCATATAAGTAATTTAATTGGGATTAATGGTAAACATAGATAAAGGATATGAGAGCTATAAAAATACACCTAACATTAGTTTGATAGGGAACAAGCAATGGTAAAAGTCATTCGTGCTTCTAACTTTTTAGTAGAAGAAATAAGACGAGGTAAAAATGTTTTGGAGGTTTTGGAGTTTGCTTTGAACTTTCAGCCTACTGCAATATAACTGGCACTTTAAAAAGTGTTCCTCAGAGGAAAGACAATATTTTAGACAATTTTAACACCCTGGTTGTCCCTCTAAAGGTTTTTAAGTAAATATAATATAATAAAGTTTAGGTCTGCTGGATAATGACTTGTAAAAACTATTTAAAAGTAATACGCCCGAGGGGCAGCTCATCTCGAAAAATGCTGAACTTTATAACACCAGTTTAAGCTACAATACAAAACTTAAACCATGTAGACTTTGCTTTTAAGGTAAATATTTCAGTAATAAGAATTGGAATTTTTATAAAAATAAGAAAACTCCAAAACTTAACAATACGATAAGAGATTATGAAACACTAGAAAAACAGAGGCCTTTGCTTTCTTAAAGGCAAAAAAGTAACATATGCGGTTAATTTTAATAAACAAAATGAAATATAAGAAATGAACTTAAATTTATACTGAGGTCTCTGTGTCTATTTATTTATGTATAAATGGCGTTTCCTGGTGCTTGATCGAGTTTAATATACACGAGCTCTCAAACAGGTTTTTTAGTCGTCCACAAGTGCAAGTAAAATTATTATCTTAACATGTGTCCTTAACGTTCATTTTTCAACCCCCAACTTAGCTTTTAACCGTCGTGCTACAGTACGTCGCACGGACGACGGTATTGTGCGCCGCCCCTCAATTTGTGAGCGAGTTCTTTCGCTAAAAGGCGATTAGCTTTTCCATTTATCCGTGCGTATAGGGCGACGGCATTATCTTTAAAGATTGTGAGCAGAGGCTCAATTTGTAGTTCATGGTGGTGTATCATTGCTTACAAACCAATGCGCGTTTGTTGCAGTTTTGTTTTTTCGCACTTAAAGCGAAGACGTTATTGCCGATAAATGTAGGTTTAGGCGAGAGATGTATATGTCATAATCGGCAGAATGCACAGCACATAAAGCCTTAGTCTTTTGCTCAACGAAACTTTACTTTTGCTGCATACTAGAAAATATAGTATCTGGGTCGCTGCTCTGGTCCTCGCCTCCACGTAAGTTAGGTGTGTAGACGCCACGACAGCGTAAATCTACAATAATCCCTAGATATTTTACCTGAGAAAACCAAATTTCCTTGTCGTTGAAAGTTAACGCATGGCGTTTCTTCGTAATAAGAGGCACCTTGCTCTTTGTCGACGACACCAGCTTACAAGGGCGTCGAGATTAATTTGTAGGGGCTGACATAGTAAAACGGGTGACTTGGACGATTAATAAATCATCGTATCAGTTTGTAATGGTGGACTGGCAGAGGAAGATCGCTCATGTAGGGTGCGAAGAGCAGCAGTGATGGAAGAAAGTCTTGCTGGCCTCCCACTGCGAGATAGGGAGGGCGGCGACAGTGCAGCACCCACACGAACGTTGAAGACTCTGCCGTTTAGGTACGACTTGAAAACTTTCCAAAAGCCGCGCGATATCGCTAGAGCATGTAGCTTGCTGCGCAGGGCGCCAAGCCATACTCCGTCAAACGCCTTCTCACCATCGAAAAAGACAGCACCGGTGGCTTCCTTAAATTTAAAGGCTCTCTGGTCATCCACTCGGTTGGGCGAAGAATTAGTAGGGTCGTTTAATGCCCGTTGCGAATTCTAGACTGAAATTCTATTGAAATTCCACCAGCGTTTTCACAACAGCCTTTAAGCGATTAACTATCACTGTTTCAGCTACCTCACCAACTATCGACAAAAGGCTGATAAGTCGATAATTGTAAGGCTCTGATGCCAGTTGCTATGTTTTTGGATTTCCTT